ACATTCACCCTGACACAGGTTGAGAGAGAATATATTTTATATTCTACTATACATTCACCCTGACACAGGTTGAGAGAGAATATATTTTATATTCTACTATACATTCACCCTGACACAGGTTGAGAGAGAATATATTTTATATTCTACTATACATTCACCCTGACACAGGTTGAGAGAGAATATATTTTATATTCTACTAGAGCTGAATTATATTTTTATATTCTACTAGAGCTGAATTATATTTTTATATTCTACTAGAGCTGAATTATATATTTTATACTCTACTATAGCTGAATTATGTATTTTATATTCTACTAGAGATGAATTATATATTTTTGTATTCTACTATAGCTTAATTATATATTTTTATATTCTACTAGAGATGAATTATATCTTTTATCTTTTATCTTTTACCCTCAATTTATAAAGGGACTGTAAGCGTAGTTTCAAGATACCCTCCATTTATAAAGGGACTGCAGGCGTAGTTTCTAGGTACCCTCAATTTATAAAGGGACTGTAAGCGTAGTTTCTAGGNGGGGTGTCAAACCGCCCCCCCCCCCACCCCCAGCATTAGGGTTAAATATTTGTCTAAGGAAAACTGCTTCATTTATTCCTGTTCTTCTCTCCACAAATTCATTATTTTCAATTCCTGGTTTTCTTAAAAAGCACTTGCAAGTTGCATTCGCATTTCTTGCTTATAAAAACAATAAACAAAAGTTATATTCACAAGAATTAAACAATTTTACAGACACGGCGGTATCTTTCAGATTATTGACTGAGATAAGGATTTAAAGGGTGTTACTGTGAATGGGGCACTTAACCCTTCTTTAAATGGGAGAGGGACTTGACATCTAAACGAAAGTTCTCTCGTTTTAATTTCGTTTAAAAACCATAGGAAAATATGGTTGCTAAAGTATATTGATCTTATTTGAAAAGTTATTAAACATGAAATTCTTTAAAGAGAGGAAATGAAATTCTAGTTTTAGGACTTCAAATTCGATATTGTGATATAAGCTCCTAATTATTCCAAAGAGATAGGTTAGGACTAAGCATTTAAAGGGAGTGTTCGCTAAACATGAAAGGGGGTACAGGCTCACGGCGAAAAATAATCACTTAAGATCGCTGCTAATCTTACTTCTATCTGTAAAGAAAAAATTGTTAAAAACGGTTTAAAATGACGAACGTAGCGTCCATACAAATTCAGAAAGTTGCAATTTAATTTCAAACAAATCATTCATATATTGCAACCTATAATTACAACCTATTATTATTCTAGGGTTAAAAATAAATTTATTGTCCAAAAAGTATGCATGAATGAATAGTGAATATAAAGGATGTAATGCAAAGAAAGTTAATTGCGGTCGCGTATCCTCAGCGTACATATTGAAACCAGTTCTTTCTGGGCGGAATTTGTAAACAAAAATAGATGCATCATTGTTCGCTTAGTATCCGAGGGGGTTAAAAGCATTAAATTTTGATAATTTTGATAATTTTGATAATTTTGATAATTCACATAATATTTTCCTATGACCAGAAGATTTCATAGATTTTTTATGTGAAAGATGGATCCCATGCCAGGCTTCGATATACGTCGTGTGTTTAAATTACCGCCCAGAGACAGTACACTGCAGTACAAAAGTTGCATTCACCTCTGAAATAACTTTCCTTGCAGTACAACCTTGGTGAATATGATCTTTATGATTTCATTTTCCCCTGGGACAGTTTGGGAATTATGTGGGGAGTCGTCAGCGAACCTAGATTTTCAAGGTAATTTCAGTCACCAACAAAAAAAAATATAATTTTGAATTTGTAAAATAACAAAATTACCAATCCATCATAAAACAACCAATAAAATGTATAAAAACAATTACGAAAAATTGACGATTTGCCAGAAAGAACGATTATTCTGAATAAATTTTTCTAGTGAAGAAATAAAATTTTTTAAGGATCTTCAGTTCAAATCACCCACATTAATCAATTGTGAAATTAACAAAATCGAATCAGCTGAACTAAACGAACTAAGATTTACAAAACACTTGGACCATTAATTAGCAATGATAGAAAGACTTTGAAAAAAAAGTCGAACATGGCCAACCCTACAGATGCAAACTGACAAAGGAAAAGAAAACAAATTAAACCCCTGTACAAATGTCTGACTATACCCCTGCAACTTATGTTACAAAAATCACATTTTTGGTTTGTTTCTGTAAATTACCCAAATGTATTTTTGAATCCTGGAGATATTCGAATGGCTAAATTGATAGGGTCCAATTTTTTGTATGACCTTGCCCTAAGGAAGCATTACAGTCTGTAACACTTAGTTTATATTTTTTAGGAAATCGACTTAATAAAAAAGATTAAAAGAAGGAAGGCAAAGCATCCCATAGTTTACAGAGTTATATGGCATATAATACCAATTTATATCTACAGGAGCAGTGTGTGTTACGATGGAAGGGGAATCTGTTCTCTTGTATCACCAGGGAACGATTACTTCTTATTAATGGATAAAAACGAATGCAGTGGCCTCGAAAGCGGAGTTGTGAGTGAGAAGTGCTTGTGTTGGATATATCGACCTTTTGGAGATTCCATCTGAGCCAATCCTGAGCTAATCCTTAATCCAAATTATGAAAGTAAAAAGACAAAAAAAATCCAAATTCAAAATTTTTCAAGAAATTCATTTGTATTTGAAAATTGAATAATAAATAATTCTGCAAATAATGTGGACTTGTGTTTAGAGTAGGGTTATAATCATTTTGAAACTAATCATCTTGGAAAAAAAATAGAAAAAAATTTGTCCAGTAAGAACAGTTTATGAATGTTGTTCTACACAATTTTACACGATATAATATTCACTAATTTAGTTGTAATATTACACTTCTTACTATTCCTTCGACTTTCTATTTAAACATTTTTTGTTTTATATTAAGAAATCTGTCTAGATTCTAATTTATTTCGAATGTTTATTATTTCCCCCACTCTCAACAATGAAAAGAGGGCAGCCCATATTTTCAAAAGCTTATGGGATGTTGCAACTTTATTTTGATACACTCTTTGTCATCTATTAACTATTCGAAATAGATTTTCAAGTCGTCTCTTAATTCCATGTTTATTTGGACACCCTCTAGTTTTAATATTACTTTTATTAAAAGCCCCAATTCCTTGACTTCCAATTTAAACATTAGTTGTTTTATATAGAAGTTTTATATTCAATAAACTATTCCATCACAGCAGGGTTTAATCACAATAATCTAAATGGGTAACAAAAATAATAAAAATTTAAATTTAGTTGCATATTCTTCAATTTTTTAATCTAACATTTTGATGGATAGTTTAGAAGATATCAGATATACTTTGTTGGTCAAATTTAATTACAAAGAAAAGTATAAAGATTTTTTAAATGATGTAATTTTTTATAATTATAATGTTTTCAAGTATTGCAAGTCTATTTCTCGTCTCTACGGGAATAGAAAGATATAATACAAATATAAAAAAAGTCTAAATTTAGGTTTTGGTGCACAAATTGTCGTAACATGTAGTAGAAAAATGCACCCGAATGGCGAACTTGAAATACCTGGTTAGCTCTTCATAATATTGGATGTGGTTTACAAGGCCCTATTGATTTCTTAACATGACATCATTCAAGACATTGTAAAATTTCTTCGTTATTATCGAACATGCAAAGATTGATCCTTTTGAATAATGACTGCAAGGAAAAGGACCACCTGTTAATTTGTTCATCTAACGGTGGAACTTGGTCTGTTGTTTATTTATCAAACGGTGAAACTTCGTCTGTTGTTTACTTATCAAACGGTGATGCTTCGTCCAGAGTATCCCACACCATATTGTACAGCTTTCTAAACAAATAGACAAGATTTTTAGGTGAAAATAAATGAATTATTTGATAAATTATCAGAGATTCAACTTTAATCAGTCATTCTGTACCACCTAGCGGCCAGGCTTAAAATTTAGCTTAAAATTTAAAAATAAAGCTGATAATCGAAATTAAATTTTCCCAAAACCCTTTCAACAACTCATGAAAACTCCTCTTAAATCCAATTATTGAATACAAACGACATTTACCTAAATAAAATGGATTTTTTGCTCTCTGGTTTACATACATCCATATGGTTGTACGATACTGCATAGAATCACCAATCCCNCCAACCAACCAACCAACCAACCAACCAACCAACCAACCAACCAACCAACCAACCAACCAACCAACCAACCTGGATTAGAGGATTCTACAGGCACAAAATTTAAATCCAACCCAAGATGTCGAGTAGGAATTGTTTCTCCAAAACTTATCACTTTTGTCCTAAAAAATAAACATTGAAAATAATTAACTATTTATTTTTATTCTCAAGATTTACTGCATAACAAGCTCTCGAATGTATCTATCCAAGTACAATCCGTCTGCTATCAAAATCCCGCTACAGTGTCCAACCAGGACTGAATCCCAGGCTATAAATGCCACACAAGAGTAGCTATCAAAATCCCGCTACAGTGTCCAATCAAGACAGAATCCCAGGCTCTTAAATGCCACACAAGGACACAGGCGTAGCTATCAAACCCAGTTATTTATCTGATGCTCATAATGCCACACAGGGACACAAGCCTAGCTATCAATAAGCTATCTATATCAATCCCAAATGATGGGGACGATCCAATGCTCAAAATGCCACACTGGGACACAAGCCTAGCTATACAACAAGCTATATATCGATCCCAAATGATGGGGACAATCCGTTTGGCTATATCAATGTAGCGTTTTAGTGTTATGAATGCCTGCACACAGGGACACAATGCTGAGTTACTCTATAGAACTAACTTTATTTGATATCTTATGTCACAAAGTTGACAGGAATTCCTATGTCGTTATCTACATCACATGATTAAGGTAATCATATTACGTATTTATTGCAAAATTAAGTTTAAGGTGCGTATTGATAAGATTAGAGAGAAAAGATATAACGCAGTTAAGCCATCTCCATACATGTTTTATATCGTAATCGCATGATTTAAGTAATCATGTTAAGTATTCAATTGAAACGCAGTTTCAGTGAATATTGTAATCATGAAAATGAATAAAAATTATTAATAAATAAAAGATCCAAACATAAATAAATGAATGAGCAATGAATGAATAGAGTTAATAAATAAATTAATGAAAATAAAGTTATGAACGAATATTAGGATGAAATACTTATATTTTGATCGAAAACAAACTATAAGAAGTAAAAATCAAAACAAAAACTTCGCACAGATGATACCCAACACAATAACATATATTGGGTTATTCAATTTTACTCCACAAAGTTACTTCATTGCCCTGTTTTAGGGTGATAAAGTAACTTCATCACTCTACCACGAGAAAAACTAGGTCTGAATTTGAAATTTTAATGGCAGGGTGAAAAAGTATCTTTGTCGCCCTGGTGTAGCATGTAGGGCGATAAAAGTCACTTAATCAATCTAAAAAGGGAAATATTAGGTGTGTTAAATTCCTTCAAAATTTAATAAAAAAATAAACTTACTTGAACTTATTCACAAACTGCTTGAAGAACATATTAAGATCAGAAAGAGCCGGACTTCCAAATTCTAAAAAACACACTTTTAATACTTTACCGAAAATAAGAAAAACGTAATTAAGAATTTTCACAATTTTGCCAAAAGAACATTTAGATATGGACAGGTGTAAAGGTTAGATTTTAAAGAAAAACTACATAAAAATGAAAACCTTTTTTTTTCTGTTTTTGTTTGTTATTGTTTACTATAAAATCACCCTACCCTCCCCAGTNCCCCCACTAACCTAGTTCCTCCCCTCTCCTCCCCACTAACCTAGTTCCTACCCTCCCCTCCCTACTAACCTAGTTCCTGGACCTCTACTGATGGAAAGAATATATATTTAACTAGAGAGTTGAGTTTAGCGATCTGCGATCCTTCATGAGGTGTTGAGTAGAATATTACTCCTGTAATAAATGTTAGCCGTCAGGGTTAACAGGGTGTGTGTGTGAGGAACAGAAATGAAGGGGTGCGGGGGAGGGGGTTAACTTCTTGGGCAGGGCTTTACAAATTTTATTGATAAAAATCTTGTTTGTCGAAATTTACTGATTTTTGATAAATTAACAAAAATTTATGGAAGGCTAATTTTCCTTTGGTATTGTTTGCAAGCTCTGTCAGTTTTTCGTCTCCGGCCGTATCGGCGGCCGTCAACATTTTCTTGATGATGAGTCCGCCCATACTATGGCCGACGAATATGACCGGCCGGGTTCCAACACCGGCTTCACGTAGACGTTTCAGGATCTCTGCCGATCTATCGTCTAAACCAAACAAAGTTTAATATTTTTCATAAAAACATTTTAAAATATAAGTTCCCCCACCCCCATCCCCCCTTAAGGAATTTTTTCCCCTTATCTGAACTAAAAAAACATAGAAACATGACAAATCAACAAAAAAATGGTGGACCTAATTTCAAGTACCCTTCCGTTTTGAATATTAAATGGCAATTTAGAATGATAAAGTTATCGGTGTTTTCAATCTAAATAAATGTAGAATTCTTGTCTTTTAAGAATAAATGTGCAAGTCACTATTTTTAAGAATCAATAATTAAAAATAATAATTTTGCAGCTGGACAAAAAAAGGATATCTCATTCATTCTTGATCAGACAAGTTGTAAAAATCAGACATGCCAACCTTCACAATTACATCACTTTTGTCCTAAAAAATAAACATTGAAAATAATTAACTATTTATTTTTATTCTCAAGATTTACTGCATAACAAGCTCTCGAATGTATCTATCCAANTCGGTTACCTGACGTTATCTGACTCACTTTTTAACCAATCTCGGGGCCAGCAGAAACTATAGTCATCCTCACTTATCTAGATAGATAGATAGACATATAGATAGATAGATATATAGATAGATAGATAGATAGATCGATAGATAGATAGACATATAGATAGATAGATATATAGATAGATAGATAGATCGATAGATAGATAGTAATAGATAGATAGATAGATAAATAGACAGATAGATAGATCGATAGATAGTAATAGATAGTAAAGATAGTAAAAGATGGAAAGATGAATAGAGATCATTTTTTAGAAAGATAGATATATAGAAGGAAAGAAATCTCTATAAATTAGTTATTCCTTAAGTAATAATTTAATCAATATATTTCTGTAATTATGAATTGGTTAGTAGTGCATTTATAGATGAATAGTTGATTTCAGATTGCTTGGTTGGTTAATTAATTGATCGATCAAATAAATTTAATAAATGATTGATCAGATGAATTTATTAACTAATTGATCGAATGAAATAATAAATCTTTATATATTAATCTAGTTGTTATTTCTGTTTGCTTGTTTGTCCGATCATAACTCAGGAACCCCTGGACCGATTTGCCTCAAATTTTGATCGGGGAACTCGGGAGACCCATGGGAATATTATTAGCTTGGTTTTGAGATTCTAAGTTGAGTAAGTCAATTTAAATAACGAAAATTCAGTTTCCCGGTAAAATCGTTCAAGTGCGGGTAACTGGCGGGAGTAACTTTTAGTAACCTAAGCAACGCTGGGTTCCCAAGCTAGTTGATTAATAAAATGAATTGATAAATTGATTGATCAAATTAATTGATTTGATAGATTGATCAAATGTATCGTTTGTTTGATGATTGAATGAATTAAATAATAGATAAAATGACGTAACTGATTGGTCAAATGAATTAATTGATGAATCAAATGAATCGATTGATTAATCAAATGAATTGATTGATCAAATGGGTTGATTGATTAATCAAATAAAATGATGAATTGATTGATATTGATATAAACCTGTTTCGCTGAGAAATCTCTTATATTATCCTTGTCCTGCTGGCGCCAAGTATAGAATACTCCTAAAACATTATTATTCTTAAATGCTGGGGTTGTTCCTGGCATCAGGCAATCCAACCCATCCCAGGGTTTTTTCCTGACTTCAGGCTTTCCAACCCATCCCGATCCTGGGGTTGTTCCTGGCACCAGGCAATCCAACCCATCCTTATCCTGGGGTTGTTCCTGGCACCAGGCAATCCAACCCATCCCTATCCTGGGGTTGTTCCTGGCACCAGGCAATTCAACCCATCCTTATCCTGGGGTTGTTCCTGGCACCAGGCAATCCAACCCATCCCGATCCTGGGGTTGTTCCTGGCACCAGGCAATCCAACCCATCCTTATCCTGGGGTTGTTCCTGGCACCAGGCAATCCAACCCATCCCTATCCTGAGATTGTTCCCGGCACCAGACAATCCAACCCATCTCTATTGTTTTGATCATTATAATTGTCTCGTCAAATTAGTAGCGATCAAATCCAAGTTTTATTCGGATTCAGCCTATACCCTTTACTTTTATTGCGAACACTCCCTTTAAAGGATTGTGAATTAACCCAAGCTACTTTTTTAAAAAACAGAGGCCACTATAAATTACCTCTCCAGTCCCAGGAAAAAGAAATATTATGCTGGAATCATTATAAAAAACTCATTTTAAAGGGAGTGACCAAATATAGACAATAAGGATTTTAAGATCGAATTTTCGCTCTTGCTGAACAATTTTACACAGTAAAAACGTCCCATATCATTTAAGATTATCTCGAAGCTTAAACATCAAAATGAACACATATTACTCAAAAAAAACTGGCTTTTTTAACTTTAGCCTTACTTCAATTTTTCTAAGTGATTCATTCATCTTAAAATTTATCATTAGTTCTGAAAATCGTACTTTAGACCCATTGACGATCTAATATGATGTGGGACACCCTGTAGGTCTCAAATGAATCCTAAACAACTACTTTACAATCCTGCACTCTCAGCTGGACTTCCATGTCTACACGATCACTCATTTCAAAGGTCAAATTGGAACTTTCAAGATTATTTCTCTTCCAAATAAAACACAATTTAACTATCCGATTTTAAAGCAGGGTTCTTTTTATAGAATGGGGGTTAGATTAAAACAACATTTAAAATACATATCTAAATATAAATTTTCTTCGCTCATATTTATATATATATTTGTATATATGTTAGCTATGTTAGCTGGACCAAATTGGCTGAATTTTTTAGGGAACTCGGAGGTCACATAGGCGTAATGAAATAGATTTTCTTTTCAAAATTCGATTTACTTCTTAAATTCAATTGCTTTTTTACAGAACTAGATTTTTTTTCTTAAGTGTTTTAAATTTCCACTGACAACGCCGTGCACTTGAGCTTGTATTTAAATAATACATAAAGAAGGGGATTAATAATAAAAAAACATTTTCTACCTCCCAGGAGACCGTGTACGAAGACAATGTCAACTCCCCAGTTGCTGAGCTGGTTCTTGTGCTGGACATAGCGGTCAGTCGGCAGCATCAGGTAAACACCAGGCTCATACCTGGATAATTATAATAATGATAATAATAATGATGAAACAGATGATGACGATACAAATCTCAACATTCTTCTTTAAAAATAAAAATGCGAAAAATCCGCGAAAATAGCTGCTTAAAGAGCTAACAGCTAACATTGTTACTAGAAAAGGAACGCGAAGCACTCTAGAAACTTATTCATGATAACATGATAACATGATAACATGATAACATGATTGGATGACAGGATGAAATGTTTACAAGTTAAACGAATAAATGATTTAATGAAGGTAAAGGTCATACTATAAATACGCTACACTAAAAAAACGCTACACTAAAAAAACGCTACACTAAAAAAACGCTACCCTAAAAAAACGCTACACTAAAAAAACGCTACATAGGCTATATTCGCTACAAGTTTATTGCCTGTTTCTGTGTGTGTATAAGTTTATAATTTATAGAGATATATATTCGCTACTATTCTAAAATAAAATATATATAAAATATATATAATTTATATATTGTTTTAATTTGGTCACCACCTTAAAATTTTCATAACCATGTACATGGTAACAAGTTCAAGGTATTGTTCAGTATCGTACTACTCCCCTCCCNTAAACCTTGAAAAAGTTTTGATGGTTCTGAGTTAACTGTTTTTGATATGAATGACTCACTAAGTTAACCTGTTCAGTCCAAAGTTTCCTCTCCCATTAATAATCCACATAAAAAGGAACCTGGAAAACGAAAAAACAAAAGGCAGATTCCTGTTCCTGGAGATAGACGAAGTATTTGTAATATTGAAAACCCACAAATAATCGAAATATCAAGAGAAAATATTGAAACAGGCGATATATTTCAATTTTTAGATAATTCCAGCCCCAAAAGAACTAAACTGTCGTATACAACAGATATCACTCATCCAGACCAGACCATCACCAGAATTTGTCATCTTTGTAATTTAAATTTTAAACGTAAGAGAGGCTCAAAGAGGTGCATTTGTGGCCGTTATGTACATGTAAAATGTCATAAAAATATAAGTAATTGCCCATTCAAGAATGAATGTCTGTAATAATATGTGGTACACTTATAATTAACAGAAACAGACAATAAACTTGTAGCGAATATAGCCTATGTAGCGTAGATGATGAAATGATTAAATAAATGAAACTAATAAATAAAAAGGTAAATGAATGAAAGGATGATTAAATAAAAAGATAAATAAATGAAAGGATGCATGGAAGGATGAATGAATAAGGATGAATAAATAAAAAGATAAATGAATGAAAAGATAAATGAAAGGATGAAAGGATGAATAAATGAATGAATGAATGAATGAAAGGATGGATGAATGAATGAATGAATGAATGAATAAATGAATATAACCTACTTGTGAACCCCAAATTCTTGATCTAGGTTACATAAAGCTTTAGTTGCTGGTAGAGATACAAGCAGGTTAGGATCCTGCTTCCAGGCCGCCAGTACACCTACCCAGCCGTTCCTGTACAGTGTATATAATGTATATACAATATACAGTACACCTACCCAGCCGTTCCTGTACAGTGTATATAATATATATACAATATACAGTAGACCTACCCAGCCGTTCCTGCACAGTGTACATAATATATATACAATATTCAGTACACCTACCCAGCCGTTCCTGTACAGTTTACATAATATATATACAATATAGAGTACACATACCCATGCATTCCTTTACATTGTACATAATATATATTCACTATACAGTATACCTACCCAGCTATTCCTGTGCAGTGTACATAATATAAATTCACTATACAGTACACCTACCCAGCTATTCCTGTACATTGTACATAATATATATTCACTATACAGTATACCTACCCAGCTATTCCTGTACAGTGTACATAATATATATTCACTATACAGTATACCTACCCAGCTATTCCTGTACAGTGTACATAATAAGTTCAGTTCACCCACCCAACTGAACCATATTACCTCAACCATATTGATGTTTTTTAACATGTTTATCTATACTTTTTTCTTTTGACCTTTTGGAACCTACCCTTTAAAATCTTATCTACGTCCTGTAATCTTACCATGTCTTAAAATTTGATTGATGTTGAACTTCTCGTCCCTTATTGAACTTCTTAACCATTCTGATCTTTTTGACCTTCTTAAACTTTTTGAACTTTAGACCTTTTCGAGGTTCTTGATCTTTTTGGACCTCTTGGCCTTATTCTTCTTATTAAACTGCATTGACCTTTCTTGACCCGTTCGTAACATATCGACCTGTTTGACCTGTTTGACCCGTTTGACCTGTTTGACCTGTTTGACTTGTTTGACCTATTTGACCTGTTTGACCTGTTTGACCTGTTTGACCTGTTTGACCTATTTGACCTGTTTGACCTATTTGACCTATTTGACCTGTTTGACCTATTTGACCTGTTTGACCTGTTTGACCTGTTTAACCTATTTAACCTTATACCTGAATAAGTTAGAATGATGTTGAGGGTAGAGACTAATATTTGCCAATATCTTCCCAATCAATGATTTGATCCTGGGGTTGTCGGGATGGGCCTAGAAGTATCATCATTATCATTGTTATCATTTAATTTTGTCTAATTTTGTCCGTATCTTCTATCAGTTTCAGAATTTAATGAAATTAAGCCGGGTCTAAAATCCCCCCAAAACCGTTTTCAATTGAGCGCCGGCTTAAATCTTGAAAAATTGATTACAATTTTAAGTGGAACCAATCATATTTGAGCGGCAGCTCAAATTCTTTAAATTCGGCCTCAGATTGTATACTTTTTATTCTTCTATTGGTTTAATTAAACCCTTTAAGCATTTTGTTCACGCACAAATTTCAAAATGTCTGTAAAATCCCATAATATATACAGTATACACTTCTAGAATTATTTTCCCCATCAAGAGAAAAGTTGGGAATGAATTTTCGAAGAAAAAATAATGTAAAAAAAAACAAGAAGGTGGGAAAAATAATTTTCAACGAACTCCCACACTGGGGCGGCAAGATAAAACACCATTGATTAATTGATTGGGCATAGATTGACTGACATGATATTGACATATTGATTGAATATTGGTCGATAAACTGTTTGAAACATTGATTGAATATTGACAGCTAATGACTGATACATATATTTGACTACCTGCAGTACCATCTGGAAGAGTGGTAGAGCAGCTAGAAGCTGGGTACATTGTTCCTCTACAGTAGAGTGGGAGAGAAGAGCCTGCAGACAGTATTCTACCAATGTCTCCTAATACAGGCACAATTATGACAATATTTTGGAGATTACGTCAAAATTCCAGAGATTGTGAGATTATAGCATTATTATTATATTATATTATATTATTAAAATATTCCAGAGATTATGATAATATTCCGGAAATTATGATAATATTCCGGAAATTATTATTATATTCCGGAAATTATGACAATATTCCAGTTTATGATAATATTCCGGAAATTATGGCAATATTTTGAATGACAATGCTTCATATCATGACAAAATTCTGGAAATTATGACCTAGTGACTCTGACATTTACCTTGTTCCTATACCTTGACCCTGACCCTGACCCTGACCTTGACCCTGACCCTAAACCTGACCTTGACCTTGACCCTGTACCTTGACCTTGACCCTGACCCTGAGCCTGACCCTGACCTGGCTGATCTGTGGTCTAGGTATAGAATGAATATGATGAGACTCACGGTGGAATTCATAACTTAGATCAGAGTCCAGTAGTTCCTCGTCATCTCCTCTAAATAGATGAACAATTAGTTTATAAAGGACTGTATTCGTTATTTCAAGTATCTCATAAAGTATCCAGTGGCATGATAGATTCACAACTGTACCCTAACAGCTGTCTGATAAAAAATGCAAAGAATGTTAATTATCGAGTTCTTTACAAAAGTAACTTAAGCAAGAAAATTTTCAGTAACTTCTTATGCAAACATTGTTTTCTTGCTACAATAAAGGGTTTCTACTATCTCGAAAAACCATTCTTCCCCGCCCTCTTCTGAACATTATGTTCTGTATGTTAAAATAAAATTATAGGTTTTTTTTCCGCTGAATAGGGGATATAAACTATTTTTAGGGAAATATAAAGGAATTTTTGGGTAAAAAGATCAAAAAGAATTAAAAAACTTTACTTTAGTTGTCCAATTTTTCGTCCCCCCCACCATATTATCATCATTCCTCCCCACCCCATGGGGCAGGTAATTCTGCAAAATATTCACCCTGTACAGAAGGTTGTTCAGGCAGTAGGTCTCAAAGGATGATAAAGTACGTTACAGGAGGTTTCAACAAATTTTGTTAAAAAGAAATTATATTTATATTTGGCTTGTCTGTCTGTCTGTCAGTCTGTTTGTATCCAATAAACGTCAAAACGGCTGAACCGATCGGGCCCAAATTTTTTGTAGGACATCTAGGGACCCCAGGGAAGGTTTATGAATGATCAAAATTTTAAATATTTGTCTCCGTCAAAATTCGATCTTCATTAAATTTTTTAAAATTTTGAAAATCCATGAAATTTTTTGTGAAAATCCGCGAATTATTTTTGTTTTGTTTTACGATGTACACAAAGAGAACATGTCCACAATTAATTTAGAAGATGGGCACGAAGCGCCCTATAAGGCTAGTTACTATAAACAACAAAAAGTACGAAATTTTTTTTAAATACTTAAAATAAATGTTACCTTTTTAAATAATCGTCTAAAGCTGTTGTTGTGTAGTAAATTATACAGTCGTTCAGTTTATCTATATAAAATAACTATTAAACTCTTTTCAAGCTTGACCAATCAAAAGTATCAGTTAAAGGGAATGTTGACTTCATTTCATGTGATTATTGAATTAAAGAATTCCATGCCTGATTCACAACAGCACCTAAACTTTAATCCTTCTTCTGGGCATGAATGACGATAATATTCAGGAATTTAACCAGTGTGGGTTGGAAACATGTGGATGTATGAGGTAACCAGTGTGGGTTGGAGACATGTGGATGTATGAGGTAACCAGTGTGGGTTGGAGACATGTGGATGTATGAGGTAACCAGTGAGGGTTGGAGACATGTGGATGTATGAGGTAACCAGTGAGGGTTGGAGACATGTGGATGTATGAAGTAACCACTAACCAGTGTGGGTTGGAAACATGTGGATGTATGAGGTAACCACTAACCAGTGTGGGTTGGAAACATGTGGATGTATGAGGCAACGACAAAAGAAGGAAATTGACCGAATTCAACACATTTTCTGATAGAAAAACAACGACATCTTCCTCACTATTGCTAAGAGTAAGGTTGTAAAGGATAATGGAGTGAATTAGGCAATTAACTCTTTAATTGGAGAATTAATTGAACTAAGGCCGAATTTAAAGAATTTGATCCTCGGCTTAAATTTAGGATGCGGCTCAAATATGGTTGGTTCCACTTGAAATTGTATTCAATTTTTAAACCGGCGCTTAATTAAAACCGGTTTTTGGGGGATTTGAGACGCGGCTTAAATTCATTAAATTCGGACACTGAAGTCAGTCAGTCCCGTTAACTAAGCATGTCGCTGACCTTCATCTGAACCAAAAGTTTGCGGCTCACGAAGAAGAAATGAAAATGTTAAAGGGACTGTAAGCGTATTCTCAAGCTACCCTCCATACAAAGATGGCAATGTCTGATTTATAACGGTACCATTGAAAATGGTGAAGAAAGAATAATGATTGAAAAAGAATATTTCTGCGAATTTCTCCATTGTTTCTTATAAAGCAAGAAATGCGCACGTCATGTTTGTAAAGAAACCAAAAATAAAAATAGACAGTTTAAATAAACAAAACATGGATATCTAATTCATACTTGTTCAGACGTTTACGGGTACAGTTGTATTTCGAACATTGCATTTTTCCAATGCGGATCCAGAATCTTTTCAAAGCAGAATAATCATCTCGATTTTTATCCGAGGAGACTAAAGGGTACTATTGTTCATTGGACATGTATCTCGCTTTTAAATGGAGGATCACTTGAATTTACGCCAACAGTATCATTAAACTCAAAGTGCCCCAATATGGAATTCATCATAATAATTTAGAAATTTGAGTCTAAACTTTAATAAAAATAGGTTCACGTAGGTTGTAACAAAAAACGTTTACATTAAAGGCATGAATTTGAGAAAATAGAAAAAAATATATTTATCTCGTACTTAATTGTATAAATACAGACTGCAACGCAGCTATTTTTTTTTTACAATGATAACAAAATAAAACGATGTTTAATACTGAACAACGTCAGAAGAAGTCGAGGTACAATTTTCATATTTCATTTCATTCTTTATGATGCGAAACGTAAGCCCCGATAAGTTTAAATCAAAACATATAAAATTGCGTTTTGCGTATTTGTAAATTTAAAAATTCCACTACCTGAGCTAACTGCGTATATTCTGCTTCGTACAGTTTTAGTCTACTTAACTCTTTTACCGCCTTAAAAACTTTCCAATAAAAAAACTAAATAATAGGCGTAGTCAATTCATTTTAAATATAGAATTTCGAGTTTCTTGACCTAATATTTAAAGTAGATTACTAGTTCAAGACGTAGAATGTTTATGAATAAAGTTTTTACATATTTCAAC